AAGATTGTATTAAAGCAGAATTTGTGGATATTTATCTATTATTTATCTATTTGACAACCATTCATCTCCCTTCCACTTTCCTCCCCTCCTCATTTTCTTTCTCTTTTTCTTTTGTCAATCTCCCCACCTATGTACTTACCTAGCCTCTCTTTTTCCTCAGTGGATTCATAATCGTGTATGAGTTATATGATACAATTAACAACAGAATGAGGCAGTTGTTACCACAGGGCTATATGTCGCAGGTCTAATAAGAGAGGGATCATTTAGTGAGGAAAGGGTCAAGAAACATTTCCAAGAAGAGCGCATGAGGAGGAGTTGGCCAGTCATGTAGGAGAAGGACAATAAGCCATCTTATGCACTTATGACCATGACCAGGAGAACTGTCACCACCAACTACATCTGGAGAGGAAGTTCCAGCCTTCTCTTACTCTAACAAGAGTTTCTAGAGAGCATGTACCTTGCCAATGATCTGGAGAGAAGGTGGCTGGGAGGTGCACATGCTGGATGGCACTCATTAGCTGTGTGCCCTGGGCCAGTGGGTAGTTGATCTGAGACTCAGATTTTTGCCCCCAAGGGCTAGTTACCTGCTTTTTGCATTTTAGCAGGTTGTGAGGAGATAATGTGTGTAAAGATAAGACTGCATAAGAGGAAAATTTTCCACCACCATCTCCTCCTCCTCCTCCTCCTCCTCTTCCTCCTCCTCCTCCTTTTTTGAGATGGGAATTAAACCCAGGGCCTCACACATTCCAAGCATGTGTTATAGTACTGAGCACCAATTATAGTACTGAGTACCAATTCTTTCTGAAGACATTATAAGACTGGATGTTGCTAAGTTGTTTTGAACTTGTGGCCCACCTGCTTCAAACTGCAGCCTTCAGAGAAGCTGGGATGACAGACATATGCCAGTATGCGTGGCTCATTTTTTAATGAGAATTTAGACTAGATTTTTAGAATTGGAAGCTAGAATAAAAGTATACTCTACTGTAAGGGGGACATGTATGTACATCCCCAAATCATGGGAATTTCTAGAAACCTTTTCACATGGATATTGAGACTTTACTACTTAATAAAATTTTGAGCTAGTCTAAAATCTTTCATTGTAAGATGATACTTAAGGAAGCTATCAAACAGTAATAGTCCTAAAAGCAAAATATTTTCTTATTGTAGGCTAATCTTTGGAATGTTCTGGAATTTCAAAAAGTCACATGATATTTTTCCAGATAGATACCTAACATGTTTTCAAGTGATAGAGTTTATGAATACAATGTAGTCATCTTGTAATTGATTCATGCATTGAAAAGATGCATGCAGCCATGCCCAATGATATAGGCTTGACACAGTATTTTTGTAATAAATCACAAATAAAAAATGGCTCACTCAGAATGTACAAAGGTCACCTGGAGAGTAATTTGTTTTCTGAAAGGTTTTGCTTCTTCATCATAAAAAAGTTTAAAATTAGACTACATGTGTACATGATAGAACAGCCTGTTTAAATTACAGTTATTATATTAAATTCTGAAAAAAATCAGCATTTTGGTACAAATAAATATGATGTTTGAAAAATTATTATAGATGAGAATTTAAAACTGTATTGTGAGAAAATGGAATCAAGGGAACATTTATTGAGCATAGTTTTTTTTTTTCCCTAAAGCACTGACGAGTCAGGAAATACGAAAAATGACCATGTGAAAATGCTTAGACTCCATTTTAGAAAAAGAAGGCTGATTTTCAGAGAATTTAAGCATATACTCAAATACAGTGTATAAGTGGCACATCAATACTGGAACATGTGTTTGACTCAATCATCTATTTTTTAATTGAAGACCTATTAAGTTGAAAATTATATGGCAGGTAAGTATTGAGACCTGATTATTCACAGACGCAGAGAATAGAAATTGCTTTTGCCTTGGGGCTGAGGTTGTGGCTCAGCGGTAGAGCACTCGCCTAGCATGTGCGAGGCGCTGGGTTCCATCCTCAGCACCACATAAAAATAAAAACAAATAAAAATAAAGGTTTTGTGTCCAACTACAAGTAAAAAAATATTTAAAAAAAGAAATTACATTTGCCTTTATTAACCAGTACTTAAAGATCTGAATGGAAAGGTATTAGAAGTAATGCAATCTGATAGAAGACTTTTCTTCAATAATGCATTTGTATTGTGTTCTGGAAATTGATGTTGACAGTGGTATTGAAAAGCCAAATGTCTATTCCATAGAATTTGTGAAGTAGAATTTATAGTTTTGAAATTCAAGGATGATATAAAAGGAAAGAAACCAAGGGAAAAAGAAAAACTGGAGGGGATTTATTTTCTGTATGCTATTGTTAAGGATGAATTACAGTAGAGTGGTTAGATAAGGTCAGTACCCAATATCAGAAGAAATAGGTAGGAATATTTTTTCCACAGAAGGACAAATATCTTATAATGAAGGTTATCAAAAAAAGAGATTGACAGCTTTGTGAAAATCTCCATTAAGGGCATCTAATAAAGTAGGAAACCAGCCACCATTCACTCCTTTATCATCTAAATCCAAATATTAGACAGAAGAAATGATGTTCCTAAGTTTATATTATCTATCAACTAGGATTTCATGTCTATTATGGTAAAAAATAATTGAAAACTCTGAGACTGCTTGGTTCTGAAAATGATGTATAAATCTAACCTATACCAGTAAGATAAGTGAAAACAAATACAAAACATTTTTTTTCCTGTTTTACTGTTTTTTTCTACTGCATGGTTGTTGATATAAAGGTAGGATGTTGACTATAGAGTAAAAAGGAAAGGCATGCTTGAATTAGACCCCTACAGATATAACTACAAATGAGGATTTCCAGACCTCAGCACTTCTGACATTTTGGACCAGATGTTTCTTTGTTCTTGGAAGCTGATTTTTACCTCTCAGGATTATAAGCATCCTTGATTTCTACCAGCAGATGCCCAGTAGCTTTCCTTCCACCCCAAGTCATGTTATTTGAAAATTTCTGCAGAAATTAGCAAGTGTCACCAAGAGGGTAAAATTATCTATGATTGATAATCAATGATACAAATGTGACAATAGCTCTGTTGCCCTTATTATTCCTGTATTATGGGAAAAAATGAGGTTAAAAAAAATGAGCAGGATATAGATAAGGTGACCCTGAGAGGAGCATCTGTCTCCTTCTTTGGGGGTTGAAGAATTTATTTGTATGCTTGATCCTGGACAAGAATCATCTGTCTTTGCAAACTTCAGCACCCAAGACAGCATCTTCCCTATGACATAAGTTCAGTTAGCATGTGTGGAATTTAGCTAAGTTGTTTAGGGATGCCCACCAAGCAAAGCAATCCACAAAAATATGTAAGTACACATTATAGTTTTAAAGCTATATGTGGAGAGGAGGAAAACCTCGATGTACAAAATATATAGATTCTTATAGTTGAGTGAGAAATTCTTATAGAAATTTTTGTTAGAAAAATTATAGATTCTTGTAGGAAAATTGTAGATTCTTAAGTTGAATGATAATTGCATATATTTTAGTCAGAAGAGGGGATGCAGGTAAATGCATTATAGTCCTGTTCTTTGGATTACACATATTGTTAGAATTCTAGGAATAGAACAGACCTGGGTCCCTGACAATGTTTCTATATCTCTCTACCTCTTGCAGGGAAGGATGTGGTCCTCCTTTTTTAAGTTTCAAAAACCAATCACGTTTAGAGTTTATAGGTATTCCCTTAAAGGGTAGTTCAACATGTTTGAACATAAATTCTTCTAGTACAGCAATATAAATGTAAGTGCAAAAGACAGCAGAGGGGCAGGAACTTGTCCCCTTCCTGAGCTTCGTTGCTCAAAGATGTTATTGTCAGCTGTGTATTCTGGAGAAGAATCAAGGAAAGGGGACAAAGCATGGTGCTCAGTCCTGTGTAGCACTCATTTCTAATAAGTTCTATAGCTTTTTTAAAATACCCAATAGGTGTCTGCATAAAGACTTACCACTGAATGTAACCCACCTAGACCCATGCAAAGATCATCAGCCATAATAGAAATCAGAGGAAACTTGATACATGACATTGAACTCTGGTTAGTGATAGTGATTCCAAGTTGAAGTTTGTAAAAAAAAAAAACTACTTTTTACTATGAATTCTTTACTTATTTAGGTCACATTCAACCTAGTGTTTTATTACCAACATGATATTTTATATTCTATAAGTGAATTGCATTGACTAAGTTGTAGTGATAATAGAAATTTACAATTGAGGTAACAGATGGTGACATATATGTTTTATATATATATATGTAAACATACATACATGTGGAGAGAGAGAGAGAGAGAGAGAGAGAGAGAGAGAGAGAGAGAGAGAGATAGGCCCAAGCACTAATGATAGGTATCTTCTTTTAGAATGCATATTTTTCAGTTGGAGCTATGAAAGCAAAATTTTAAAACAGAGAATATATAGAAAAGGGATCAAACTAAGTCACACTTGCCGTCAGCGTTCTAAAATCATTCATTCTCCTTTTAGCTTCTCAGTTAAATGTACAATGAACAGTAGTGAAAGATATAGGAATCCCAATAATGCACCTACATTTCATCAGGCAAAACTCTGATGGGATCTACATTGGAGAAAAGAACTGATTTTCAGGTCTAGAGGGCAAATTTTTCTTATATTTTCCCCAAGACTTGCTATACAAAATATACTACCAGGTGATAGAAAGTTTTAAAAATGGATATCAGTTTAACATTTGTGCCTGTGATTTGTTTGAGACATTTCATTAGCAGAACAAACTAAAACGATGTTCTTTAAATAAAAAGCAGTCTCCAAAATAATGAGCACATTTTAAGCAAACCATTATTGATTGTCAACAGTGATTGGCACATGATAGTTGTTTAAATATTTGTTGGCTGTGTCAGGGAATGAATGGCATACTCTGGCAATTGTGGACAGTATATAAAGGTCCCAGGGAAGCAGAAGACATCCACACTTCAGAACCATCCTTATTCAACCCACCTCTACTCTTTCCTCTGACAACATGTGTTGCAACTACTACGGCAACTCCTGCGGCTGTGGCTGTGGGTATGGTGGCTATGGCTCTGGCTATGGCTGTGGCTATGGTGGCTATGGTTGTGGCTGTGGATACGGCTGTGGCTGTGGATACCGTGGCTATGGTGGATATGGCTCTGGCTGTGGCTGTGGATACCGTGGCTATGGTGGCTATGGCTCTAGCTGTGGCTGTGGATATGGCTCTGCCTGTGGCTGTGGATATGGTGGCTGTGGTGGCTATGGTGGATATGGTTGTGGCTGTGGATATGGCTGTGGATACGGTGGCTATGGCTCTGGCTATGGCTCTGGCTGTTGTGGCTCCCGGGTGTTTTGCTACAGAAGATGTTATTCTCCTTGCTGCTAAAACATCACTATCAGAGGACCATTTGTTTCTGAAATGACACTTCTAAAAGACGACACTTCTTCAAGATCCACTCCTCAAGATCTCTACCTTCAGAAAATCGCATGCTTGAAAGTCATTGATCTTCGGCTGCACATCTCTTAGGATGGCATCTGGGAGACCCTAGGGCCTGTGCTATCTTCTCACCACTTTCCATATAGTAGCCTTTTCTCCCTGAATCTCTGATTCTCTGTCATGACCATGTTGATGACCATAGCATCTACAGTGGTCAAAGTCACTTATTTTCAATAAAAATGGTTGTTTGTTTCTAATAAATCTTTGTGTACTTGCTTGTGAATTATTCCTTTCTTGTGGTATTTTGAACTATCTTGACAATCAGGCTGACACTAATTAGCCTAATTGTTGGGTGAAGTTAAGGTACTATCTTTATAAAATACATACATTTAGTCTTATTTTGTATCAATAATGTCTCTTCTGCTTGCTTTTCATGTACCACATGCTCAGGCCCTTCACAACCCAAGCACAAATCACAGAGAATTTTAGAATTGTGCTTTGGAAATGGCACTGGTTCTTGAATGGAGGTGGAGAGGAAAAGAGAGAAGGAATGGTATCTATCATTAAGGTTATGAGAAAAGCAGCCATAAAGAAGAATGAAATTATGGCATTTTCCAGTAAATGGATGGAACCGGAGACTATCATGCTAAGTGAAGTAAGCTAGTCCCCCCAAAACAAAGAAGGCTGAATGTTCTCTCTGGTATGTAGACGCTAACACACAATAAGCAGGGAAGAAGAAAAGAAGTTCATTGGATTAGACAAAGGGGAATATAGTAAAGAGACAGGGGATGGGGACAGGAAAGATAATAGAATGAATCAGACATAATTTTCCTATGTTCATAAATGAATACACAACCAGTGTTAATTCTACATCATGTACTACCACAAGAATGAAATCCAAATTAGAATAATTTATACTCCACATATGTATAGTGTGTCAAAATATACTCTACTGTCAGATATATCGATAAAGAACAAATTTTAAAAAGAAAAAAAAAGATTATGAGAAAAGTCCCAGGAGAGTCATGTAGCACAAGAACTCAAAAGAGCAACAGAATGGAAGAGAGTGTTGTCAAGAGTCACGGGAGTATTCATCAGACTTGGGTGTTGGTCATGAGGAATAAAGCCTAAGGAAATAATAAATTTGAAGAAAAAGCATATTGTTACATAATATGCATTAATGGAAGTGCAAGTGTATTTGTGTACATATATTGAGGTGGAGTCAAGTGATTTGATTCACTCAATCAATAAATATATTTGTATACTTTTGGCCAGGTACCATCCTAGACTTTGAAGACACAATAGAAAAATTATAGACATGTCTTCTGATTTCAGTGTTTGTACTCTATTAGAAAAAAAATAATATAACAAATAAAACCCATAATAGATTTATACAGATAATTGTAATAGGGGAATTAAGAAGCTCAATAAGACAGTATAAGGGCTGATGTGTTAGTTCAGGAGCATATGTTGAAGTTGTGACATTCAAGCTGATAATAAAAGGATGCCAATAGCAAAAAGAGGTTGGGGAAGTTCATTAACCAACAAACCAACAAAGTACAAAGAGAAAGAGAAAGAGAAGTTCATTAAATTTGGGTCTCATCAGGAAGTGCCATCCTTTGTCAGTTATAAAAGAACAAGGTCCAGTGTCTTAAGTTGGGTTCCCTTGGGAATGGGGCTGATATGATACTGGGATTAAAAAGCCTAGTTAACTCCTTGGTTAACTTTTTGAAGGAGAGGGTACACTATTTTGGGGGGGAGGGAGTTGTGACTTTCTTGCTCTTTCCCCATGTGGTCATCCAGAACTCTTCTATTTAAGTCCTATAACAGAAAAAAACCTTTAGATTTGATATCAATTATGTTTCAACCAGCAGTAATAAATGTCCCATTTCCTTGAGGGGGTCACGACACAAAGTCTGACTCTGTTAGCTCCCTGGAGCTGAGAGATTCCACAAGGGCTGACTTGAAGAAAGACAGTTCTGCAATCAAAATCAGTCCTGGACTGGGGCTGTGGACACAACCAGATTTTTCCATCTGATGGTGACTCAGAGCTTCTTCAAGGGGCAGGGTGCTCTTTTACATTGGGTACATTTGTAAATCAGATCTGAGGGTTGACTCTGCCCTGCATAATTCTGAAGCTAGTGTTACAAACAGAGGGAGGGAATTCTACTAATTACAGCTCTTTGAAAATCTAACTTATTGTTTCATTATGTTCCTTGGCATCAAAGGCATTCCAAAACAAGGAAGGATGTCATTTAGTAAGCACGTTTAGGATAGTTTATATATCCAGGAAAGGATCTTCACAAACCAACATTTACCATGTCTTCCAAACCTGAAATGTTGTGATTCTCTTAGTCAACAAGAATTTAGAGACTTTCAGCTTGTGTGAAATGAGAAAAGAGTGAGAATGGTAAAGAGACAGGGATCCTAAAGTTAGAGAAAGAGTGTGTGCATGTGTGTGTGTGCACACATGTAAAATGAATCTGGTGTAGGTTAGGAAAATGAATATTTGTCTTCTCATATCTAATCATGTTATGGAGGAAAGGAAACATTACATTAGGGCACACTTTTTGGATTCAGGAATGGTTTAAACATCAAAGCTCCTTTATAAAAAAATAAGTAATGCTTTTATTAATGAATTATATTGTAGAGGTTCTCAATGTAAAATCAGTCATGCTTCTCTCATTCCTTGAACAGGTCTTAAAATTCATGTTCTAGCTATGTACTGTGATTGGTGCAGAGATAAAGCTAAGACACCCAGGCCCACTTCTAAGGATTCCAAATCTTCAGTTAGACACAAAACATTGATTTATACATTCACATTACAGCAGGTATGCCTGCAGGTGTGATGGGGTTAGCCAGAGGGCTGAAGGGGTCATCTTCACATTCAGACTGAATGTGAAGAGGAAGTTTAGACAAGGGTCACAAATGTTTTCAAATGGAGAATGATGTATAAGCAAAGCCATAAAGGATAAGGTGGGAGTATTTGATTACTTGGATAGGAAAATAGGATTCAAGGCAGAGGAATTCAGATAAAGAAGATAAGCTGGAAGTCCACTGTTAGAGTAACAAGATTCACTGGGAAGATTAATCAATGGCCACACCATTGGAGGGATTCTCAGGTCTCTTGAATGAGCTGAAAAATCAGATGTTAGCCACTGGCTAGGTGTGGCTATTGAGTACAAATACTACTAGTCCATTATGAATTAAGTATAAAACACACAGTAGATATCAAATAATATATTAAATGGTTTTGAACTATTGATTATATATTACTTGATAATATTGGGAGGCCATAGATTAAATAAAACATAGTATAAAATAATTTTACTTGTTTATGAAAGCCTTTTAAAAATGTGGCCAGTGAAGCATTTGAATTTTTCTACATACTTCATAATGTATTTCTGTTGTATAGTGTTGTTCTAGAGGGCCAGCCACAACAAACCGGCCAGGAAAAGACATTGGATAAGAAGATAAGCCATGTTTTGGGCCCAGAAAAGATCAGAGAATCTGAGTGTTTTATAAAGATACAAGAAGTAGATAAGTCTGAGGGAGTGAGGCTACAGGTGCCTGAACTGCAGACTTTGGGAAGCACTCAATAAAGATGCACATTTACCTGGAAGGTTTATTCAATAAATAGATGTCCGTCTGTTTTGTAATGTTTGAATATCTGAGACTAGGTAATTTACAATGAGCAGACCTAGAGCCTGGGACATTCAATGTCAAGGTTCTGGCTGCATCATAACATAGTAGAAGGCAGAGAGAGAGAGAGAGAGAGAGAGAGAGAGAGAGAGAGAGAGAGAGATGGGTGGGAGAAAAAGAGAAGAGGAGGAGGAGGAGGAGGAGGAGGAGGAGGAGGAGGAGGAGGAGGAGGGAAAACCCATCTCCAGAACCTGTTTCTATAATAATAGCATTAATTTGTTCATAAGAATGCATACCTTGTGACCTAAATACCTCTTAAAAGTCCTACTTCCCAATACCATCCCATGGCAATTAAGCTTTAGCATGCGTTCTGGAGGGGATAAAGTTTTAAACCATAGCAATGAGATTGATCCATTTTCCATCTGTTTAGACACAGACAAAGAGGCATCTAATTCACACCATATCCACAAGAAATTCTATATCAATTAAAGTTGTGCATATAAAAGTTAAGTTATTAATGGAGGACAATATGGTATAGATTTTTCAGGAATTTTGGAAGTCAGTTGTTAAAACTTGAAAGCAGTCATGCTAGGACAATTTATACCATGGAAATTGGCAAATCAGATATCCCCCTTCCTTTTCCCAAAGAGATAATTAATAGCATTCCACTACACTTATCCCTCTAGTCACTGAGAAGAAATGTATTTTTTTTCCCACAAATTTAATAACAGGGATATACTACTTATGATAGTGAAAAAAAGAAGAGAAAGAAATCTATAGAAATCATTGCCCTCAGAAATCTTGAGCATCTACAGTAAGTATATATCCAAGTTCTGTAATGCAACATTATCTTTAACTGCACTCCATCTCTGCAAAGTATCATTTCCTGGAGGTAAAACAAATGATGACACTTTTAGAAACAAAACTGTAAAGATTGGGATTAAAAGCCTAAATTCTGAAGTCAAATTACCGGTATCTAAGATAGACTTCATCTGTTATTAATTGTGTGACCAGGGCCACCTTAAGCACCTCCTTTGATACTCAAGGTAAAAATGATAAAATAGTGCTAGTTCAGATTGCTGAGTATATAAAAATTAAAAAAAAAAACATACAAAGCTCTACCACTGTAAGAATCCAGTTCATTTTTGTTATTATTCTCATTAATAGGTTGCTGTTATGGAATTGCTAATATTCAATCATTTTAACATACAAAGATGACAATTTCATATGGTTTAACCTTATATTTTATGCTTGTTGATTTTAATAACATTTTGATAATCCTAGAATTTTGATCATAACTTCAGTTT